TATTATTATTTTATTGAGCTTCTACTGTCAAGATGTTGAAAAAGTGTCCTAAAAGCTAAAGTCATTATTATTATTATTGTTATTGTTATTCCAAATAGATCACTTTACGATCAACACATTTTCTAGAATAATATGTTACGTGACACCCTGATTAATAGAATATTTCATTATGCTAATTCTAATTTTTATCAATTTTCACGAGTTAAACTTCTCACTTTCGACTTTATACACTTGAAATTTTATAATAATCTACTTGTTAAGTACAACACGGTTAGCTTTCAAAATTGGTAATAAACTAATGGGTCTCACTTGACCAATTGGTTAAAGTTGATCACAACCAACATTTTGCTCATACAAAGAAGTACGTACACTCGAGCATGCGAAAACCATTATTTTCATAACTGTAACATTAGGAAAAGAATGGCTGGCTCTCTTGAAATGATTTATAGGATGATAAAAAAACATCGAGTCATTAGCCCTCTCTTCAATAAAAGCTTTCAACTCAACTGTTTGATAATATCTTAACTAAGAATAACTTTGAAAAAATTTCGATCTTTCTCGAATTAAGAGAGATAAAACACGGTTCATAACGAGCAGTTCTTCACATTTCAATTATCATTCAGCAACTTCTCATGTTCTCAACAAGAATCAAGAAAATCCTTTTTCATTCTCCTTACGATTATTTATTTATCCAAAAGAAAGACAAAGGAAAAAAAAAAAAAAAAGGGGTAATTCCATTTGTATAACGAATTGGCAGGTAAGTCATTACTGCACTGCACTGTCAAATTAATCTGAGAAAGTCACACGGATTTGATTTGACTGTCATCAATTTAAGATGACAGCTGGCCTGATGCAACTAATGCATTTTATGTCGCTTGGATCTTTTTCTTTTGCAATTAAAAGCCAACAAAAACAATAATACAAAACAAATAGACACCAAATAATCAAATTTTTTTATTAGTAACTGTGCTATAAACAGATTCTATGAAAATACTATTTTGACTATTAGCAATCACTATAAACTTCGGAATCTAATGGAGACGAGCATATATGCTTCATTAATATAGAATTATTAATATTGGCAGCTCTAATCAAAGTATAATTTGATATGGACAAGGATGAATCTGACTTCGAGTTTGGCCCACCGAGTGAACTCAGTTCTGGGATTGGCTCGGCCGATGTGATCAATTTCACGTTCTTCAATATGGACTCCTTTCCTACCAGTTGATTGAAGAGTCCCGACTCAGTCAATGAGTTCTTGTGCTGCATTGCTGCTCTAGCGATTTCTGTTAACATGGCATTTGATAATCTTCTAACCCCTCTTGCACCGCCCATTATAATTGCCGGGTTGACCGATATCAGGCGGGTTTTATCCGATTTCTTCTTCCCGTGTTTAGTGGAAAGGGTATGGGTGATTGAGGATAAATGAACTGACTCGGGACTCTGATTCCTGACTCGACCGAGTGGGTCACCGACTAATAACATTTCCTTGACATCCACTAATACGATATGCTTGAAATTTCTTCTAACTCGACCCAACAACATTGGATAGCAAGCCCATCTCCTCAAATTCATTGGAACGCGTTCTAAAAACCCAGCCAGTGAGTTCTCCTGGTCAAGCTCTTCCATTTCAAAACTCACTACTGAGCCATAACTCGGAGGAGTTGACTCAGTCTTTCCTTCCTCGCTAAAATTGCTTCGAATTCTTCGACCCCATATTGGCTCTCCACTTTGCCTCTCCTTCTTGCTCATTTTCACGAACTGGGTCACGTCAAAACTCGCCACCGAGTGACCCGAGCGATTCGTTTTCGCATACTGAGTGACGAGTTTCAAGAACGAGTCATTCTCTTGAAGAATTGTATTATCAAAATCAGGTGATTTTGATGGAAATAAGAATACAAGGTCTGATCTTGAGGTGAGACTGGACCTGTACAAGAGCCTGAGAAATAATTTCAATTCATGGGAAGTGAGAGACTGAACTGCGTGTGCCACAATGAGGTCACTCATGGCCCTTGTGCCTCTTCTATACAGAGTGCCCATACCTTGCAATGCATGCGATAATTGATTTCTTGATAATACATCCGAAGTTGAAGAAGGATTGTTCATCATTAAAGACAGCTGTCTTCTAGGAAAACCGTAATGGCGGCGAGCTCTAGCGGCGGCAGTGGTGGTGGAGGGCAAGGTGGAGACAGTGAAGAGAAGTAGAGTGATGAATAATAGGAGTGCACATATAGAAATTGTGGACTGTGCTTTGTGCAGTATGTGAGCTGAATTGGTGCGTTTGAGGAGGGTGTTTAAGGGCTTGAACGAATGTAAAGACGATGAAGAAGCGAAAAGATTATTGTTTATTGAATTGTTTTTTTTCTTGTTTGCGTCTTGATGATCTTCTTCAGGAAAGAGAACCAAGAGGAACCCCAGTCCCCAGCCTTCACCTTTCTTAGCCTTTGCTTTGAATCTCATTCCCACAGAGGCCTAACTGTTCAATCTCTCTCTCTCTACCCAACACACATCACTTTCTTTATTTATTTATTCACGTGTGTAGACCGTAGTTTGTAGAGAGATTTGAGTTGAGGACATACCGGGGGATTAAACAATGACTTCAGAGGTGAGAAACTGTCGTTTTATGTTAAGTAGGAGAAGAACTTTCTTAAAAGAGAAAGAAGCTTGTAAAAAGAAAATGGTCCGACCTTAACGTTACTGCTTTTCATATCTTTATTATTTATCCTGGGACAAATTACATCACTCGTTAGACATTACCATATTTATGATTAATTTTCTTTGCATAATTCTTTCTATTTACTACTTTACCAAACAAAGTAACTTCATTTTGAAATGGTACGTCAATTTTAACAAATTTTAGACCTGGCACTGCCACATAGTGGCTCATTACATAATTCTTTCTATTTACTACTTTACCAAACAAAGTGACTTCATTTTGAAATGGTACGTCAATTTTATTAAGGTCACACCCCCAACAAATTTTAGACCTGGTACTGCCACATAGTGGGTCGAAAAAGTTCCATACGTCTATGTCTTCTCTATTATTGGTGGGATAACACAATTTGCTACAAGCCTCTATAGGTGAGCACAACATAAGTTTGACTATCGCGGCAATCCAACCCAACTCCCACCTAGGTGTACCTTCTTACATTTAAATTTAAACAAGCCAAGGTAATTGATACATAACTTTGGAATCGTTTGTTTTCGCTACGTAAATAGTCCATATCATTTCATTTTTATCATATTGACCTTCAGATCGACCATTTTTAATTTAAATCTCCGTCGATGCCATCCATTTCTTTTGTAGAATGGGTGTATGCTCTCTAGATGACATGAAAAAGTCAATCTCACCCTTAAAATTTAAATAAACAAAAAATAAAAATAGAAGAAGGCAAAACAAATAAGGAAAAATAGGAAAAAAAAAATTTGGAGACAACATACCGCACTACCCTCACTTTATCTTCACCGGCAAATGCTACATGCGACAATTATCACCACCACCACCAATGATGGTGCCGGAGTAGGAGCCAAATTCTCATGATTCATGGTCCCAACCCATTCAATTTTTACAACACGCTCAATCTAAATTATTTATTATACGAGAAAGACCGATCCTTACAAGGTTCTCAATCCTCCATCTTTCATCTTCTTTAGAAGGTCTATTATCAATTGTGAGGGCTTCAACATCTCCTCGATTAATAACAACATGACAATCTCCAGCATTCGAGATAATTATATTTCCTCAATGTAACAATGTTGTCACCCAACACGTCCCACCATGCTAATCTTATTGAGAAACTCTATGTCCGCGGTGACATATCCCTTCTTCACTTCCTCCTCAATTTCCTCATCATTTTCAGTTATCCTCCTTTCCACTTCCTTCATAATGTTCCTATCCAAATTTTTGGTTGCAAATTCTACAGCTCGTGCACCTCCATGTTCATCAAATATACTAAAGAAAGCCTGAAAATCTAAATCCAACCTTTCGAACTAAATCCAACCTATCAAAACCCATATTCATCACTATAACATTAATTCTCATCGGTTGTTTCCTCTTTAAAGACACTGGGTTTGATGTTGCTTCATCGTCCTCTTTTAGAGCCCGCTTGAGAGTTTCAGGTTACTAGTTATTTAATGAAAGAAACGGATGACAGGTACGGAAATGACATTTGACGTAAATAATGGTCAATTCGAGGACCCGGACATCAAAATTAAAACGATAAGAGTGATTTGCACAATTAAGGCCGACCATAGGAATTTCTTGTGTCCATTACCCTTTAACAATTCTAAGCCACTATATGATGGTCATTATGTTGAAAAATAATTTTTTTTTTAAGAAAATGTAGTTAAAAAGTAGGAAAAATATTTTTAAAAAAAATTTATTGAGTACTTTTATTGTTGAAAATGAGTATGAAAATAAAAAAAAAAATATTTTAAAAGGGGACATGCGGGAGGCTAAAGTTTAAATCTCCACGAAACTTAAAATACTTTGTAATTGATGCGTTCCTGATACATCAGATTTTGGAGAGTCGGCAGAAATGAATATGCAATGAACGAGGGCCATAGAGGCTATTACGACTTCAGGTACCTAAGATGTATAAATATCCATTTTGATTGATTAAAAAATCGACAAATTACCTTTTGACACGTAAATATAGAATACTCAAACGAGTTTCTGCTTCCCTAAATTGAAAAGAAATATATAAAATAATTATAACCTACTTTAATTTTACACTATAAATATGAGTTAAATTTCTGTTCAATGCCCAGCTCCAATAAACTATCTGTGGTCATGAATCCTCAATGACGTGGGTTTCGTCGGTGGGATATATTACATGAAAAGAAACGTGTCAGTAATAAAAAGATACTGCAATAGATGTAGTACATACAAAGAAAGATGCTGCATGCATATTAAATTTTTCTTTAAATTTGACGTTAATCAATATGAAATTCATTTATGGGAGATAATGTCAACAAGAATGTACATCTAGATTTATTCGCATACAAAACATAAAAGCGTGTAATCTTGATTTGACTTGAGCAAAATCTTTTGAGTTTTAACTAAAGGAGATTTGATCAACACATAAAAAGCAGTGTGAAAAGAGGTACATTGATTAATCGATAAAATTTTATACTCATTTTAATGAAGAAATACCTTGGTCATAGAGATTTTTAATATATCGAGAGTCATTGACATATCACATTTACGATCGTTCGAATGGGTAGTTAGTTAAGTAACACTCGATATTAACGACGACTAAAGTAAATTATAGTTTTGTTTCAGCAATAGGAGGCAAATGGAGGTATTGAGCAAAATATCCCAATATTTATTACATATCTAATTCTATCGCAGCATACTTCATATGCATCATTAATTTGATTCAACTGGTGAGTTTTATTTTTGTGGTAGTGTGAGGACACTGTCCACTTTCGTCGTTAGTTACCCCGACATCAAATCAATAATATGCATTGACCTAACAATTGTAATGAAACAGATCAGAAATTAAGTCTTGATTTCTTCAATCACAACCTTCGATGAAGATCAAGTACATGCCCTACTTGGATATGTATTTAGTGGCAGACTAGTACTAGTACAGGGAGGGCGCATTAATTCTGAAGTAAGAGGTAGATAATTTTATTTTATTTTATGGAGGTTCGAGAATCGTTACTTCTGAAAATTGTGGAATCAGTGTTGAAGATTTGAAAAAAATAATCAAAATTGTTCGAAAAATTTGTAGCTACCAAAATGCTGATACATTGATGATTTGTTTGCCCTACCCAGATTTGAAGATTTTTTTTACATGTTCAATCCTGGGGTACTTTTGGTCCTTTCGAGGGCATGCTTTCAAGAACTATAACGTCAAAAGGGTGGATTCTTGGTATAAAAATTTAAAAGTTCACGTTTCTCTTTTTTCCTTTAAACCCAGATATTTATTCCTGAACCCTTTTGTGTCTTTCTTATGTTACTACGTGTAATTAAACCATTAGTTAGGCGAATAATGCAACATAGATTTGACCATTTAATTTCAATTCTCAAGATTTGTGGAGTTAATTATTTTTTTAGGTTTTAATTACTTGATCACTAATTCATTATTTACAAATTGTAATAGATAGAGAGGAGAATTATAAATTTAGACTGTGTGTTAAAATTCAACAATTGAGTAATATAGAGGTACACTTTTATTATTGTTACGGTTTTTAATTGAATAATTGTGTAATTTAGTGCATTTAGTTGAATCTTATTATGATTCACATTGAACTCGTATAGTGAATTGATTTAACTAGATATAATTGGTTTGAATTCAATATAGATATACATTCTTATAAAAATCAAGGTTATACGCTAGTTATTTCCCTTTTTGTTTGGGTCTTTTGTTTTTTTTTTATTCTTCGTGTTCCTCATTTGTTTTGAGACTCCAATCCATAAAATACAAAAAAAAAAATTCAAAAACTTGTTTGTATGCTAATCTAGCATCCAAATCAGTTTCTGTTTCTTTTGCTGGTATCTAGTTGAATTTTCGAGAAAAAAAATTCGAAAAATTGCCAGCAGCATCCAATTTCATTTTGTCTGAGTAAAAATAATAATTAAAAGTGTGTCTTGTCCGAATTTAAGAGATACTTTCTTGAATTCACCGTTAGCCTTTCATTCAATTTCAAATTCTTACCTTCTTGAGTCATTCTAGGTCACTTTCTTTACTCAATTCTTTGTTGGATTCCACAAGGGTCAAATTTTGATTGAGATCGAATTAAATATTTGAAGCACTTGCGAGAAAGTATTGAGTGGAAAAATGTAGAGTGGTGAAACTAAAGAAGGAAAAATCCAAATTGAGTGATACACGAGTGTACACAAGTGAGGCAAATATTAAACTAGATTTAGGATGTCTAACGGGGATGGTTCTACTTCAAGCGAGAAGGATAATCAAGTCAACATGTCGGATAAGGTGATATAGCGGTTCGAAAGGTTGTTCGAGGATGTGAGAGACAGATTGGATAGGCAAGACACATCACTTGCTAACTTACATATGGAACAATCTAGGGAAATTTCTAACGCAAGGAGGCAAGGAATACGGGAGCATAGATGATTATGCTAGTGGATGGGAAGCAAATAGTGATATTAATGAGGGTGTGTTGATGGATGTCGAGTTGGGAAGAATGATTGATAGAAGAGTTAGGTATGAAAGGATGGATAGAGATTATGTTGGAGATGATGTTGATCGAAATATGGGTAATATCAAGATGACAATTCCTGTATTCAAAGGAATGAGTTATCCGGACCCATACTTGGAGTGGGAAAAGAAAGTGAAATTGACATTTGATTGTCACAACTACTCGGAGGAAAAGAAGGTAAAGATTGTGGTGCTTGAATTTACCGATTATGCTATTATTTGGAAGGACCAAGTAGTAACATCTAGGAGGAGGAACCGTGAAAGGCCTATTAATACTTGGGAGGAATTGAAGGT